TGGTCCTTCAACTTTATCAGTTGTGCACGATTGGTCCTTCAAGTTTCAAAAGTTCATAAATAGTCCTTCAACTTTATGAGTTCTGCACCATTGGTCCTTCAAATTTCAAAAGTCCATAAATAGTCCTTCAAGTACACGTCAGCCCTCCAGATGAAGTCTTTTTGACAGTAAATATTAAAAGTTAAACGAAATACTAGTTTCATATAATACGAGTAAATTCCACTAGGTACGATTACTCCGTATTATATGGAGCTAGTATTCCATTTAACTTTTAACATTTATTGTAAAAAAAGACCTCATCTGGATGGCTGACGTGTACTTGAAGGACTATTTATGCACTTTTAAAACTTGAAGGACCAATCGTGCATAACTCATAAAGTTGAAGGACTATTTATGGACTTTTAAAACTTAAAGGACCAATCGTGCACAATTGATAAAGTTGAAGGACCAATGGTGGAGTTTAGCCTAAAAAATACAACTAAAAACCAAAATAATTAGTCGTAATATGTACTAGTAATCTATATTACGGAGTAGGACGGAAGAGTAATTAAAGCAGCTTATTCCTCAGCTAGCCAATGGGGTACGTCACTTGTGTACGAGTAGTAGTTATTCAACTGCCATTTGGAGCTAAATGACCAAACTGCCCCATGTGTGACATTAACATTTAAATGACCAAACTGCCCCATGTGTGACATTAACATTTTCTTGCCAAATTTTAATTGGATTTGAAATGTTGTCCCAAGACATAAAACTTTCCCATATGGGTTATTATTAAAGAAATCACTCTTGAAGAAAAAAATATATAGTAGTTTCTATCTCCAAAATAAGAATAATACAGAAGATATTTTATCTCTAAAATAAGACTGTTAAAATGTGAGATGTTGACATTGTATATACACATTACATAATATTTTTTGTGTTAAATGATGGTATTATATGTCTTATTTTACTGATAAAAAATAGAAATTTCCTATTCTGATTTTTTCCCAGTGTTTAACTTATATTTTACTTTTTTTTTTCTATTATTATTACGAGATAGTTCATGTGGGCATTGGTCCCTAATGTTACAATGTGTTTCGTTTGAGAAACTGATGGTTTCTACTCTCTCTAACCTCTTTCTCATTTTCCGATTGGCTGCAATAATTATTGTATAGTCAAATGGTGAAGGTAGGAGACGTGCAAGGGGTTTAGGGCTTGGAACCATCAATCTTTTGAAAGGAACACCGTAAGATCTTATGTTGTTGGGCTTGAGCAACATGCGTGAAGGAGGCATCACGAAATGCAGATTGAGATTAATTAAAGCTTAAAATTTATCCAAATGAAAAAGTCATACTGAACAAATACACTATAACTGATGGGTGTAATCCACTCAGGCTATGACCTGGGTCGGGTCCATCCAAAACCACCCGGGAAAGGTCCAGGTACTAAGCAACATGGTTGTTTGGGTGGATCTGTACTTTACCAAGATGAGTTTCAACCAAGACCACCTGGGCAAAGTCCAGGTACCATACAGCAGGGTTGTTCGGGTGGATTTGTACCTTACCCGGGTGGGTTTCAACCAAGACCACCCGGGTGACTATTTGGCACCCGGTCAACTAGTATGACACTACATGGGAATCCTTGAGTGATCAGACATTCCTTCAAGAAACTACCCGGGCAAGTCTCTTCAAGAAACTGGGTGGCCAGTTTGGGTGTACATGTGTCGGCAAGAATAATCCAAGCATGGTTCGACGGTAGCGACTGAAGTGTGGTGAATATTCAAATATTCTCGTCCAAACACTACGCGCCAAGAGAGGTGCCATCAGCACAAGCCGACAAATGAGTTGGACAAAACGCTACGTGACAAGAGAAGTCGCCTCGCACCGCCCAGGAACGTGAGACGATGTGGGCATTCTTTGTCTTGTCCCCTAGGCTCTACTATAAATAGCCTTGTAGCCCTCAGTAGAGAGGATCCGAACTTTATTTCTCTAGAGCATATTGTGTAGTACTACCCCGTACTATTCTAGATACTTAATAACAATTTGAGTACATGTGTTTCCACCTACACTCCTCACAGTCAACTTTTTTCTGTGCCACTTAATTAGTTTCTTAACTCAGCAAATCATCCTAGACCAGGTCTAGAGTAGTTTGTCTGGGTGGTAATTTACACCATCAATGACGAAGGCCAAGTAGTACTTTTTAAATATGTTTTCTTGAAAACGTAACTTCTTTCCTACCAAACGATTGAGAATACACATCTCTAATTTTTCTTTTTCTTTTGGAAAAAGATTAAAGTAGGGGTACACATTGAAAATATACCAAAATAGAATTTTCATATTTTTATTCTCGAAAGAGGAGTTAAAATACATTTACATTACCAACGTGGTCATGTACATTACCAAACATGATCATGTATATTACCAAAAAGTATAGTAATGTGCACGTATACAGTGCCACATTTCCTCCACATTATCACAGTGCAAACTCTTATTTCAGAAATAAAAATATAAAAATCCAATGTTGATACTTTTCTATGTTATAATCTTATTTAGTGATTTCTATTTTCATTACCTCTCAATTTCTTTTTCCTGCCAATTTCCCTCTTCTCAGCCAAACACTCCCCCAAATCTTAATTCAAATTTTTTATAGTCGGCCCGATCAAAAATCCCGATGAACACATTCCCTCGTCTACATTCTTCCGCGGCATTCCATCCCCTCTATCCTCTCCGCCTTACATTCCCTCGATCTAATTTCCAAGCTTTTCATCCTCCCCCATCTCTGATTTCCACGCACAGCTACGATTTCTTCCTCAAGAAACCTTTTCTCGGATCCCTTTCTCCAGACATAGAGGTCAGATTCCCGATTCGTGTTTTTCTTTCAAATTTATTTTTGATCTTGACATACTAGTTTGGATTTTCATCCCAAATCATATTCTGCATTTATCAATTTTCAATGAAGAGGGTATAATCTAGCAATCTTTGAATTCTGGGTTTTTTTTTTTGTATTGTTTTCTTGGGAGAAATTCGTTTGTTTTACCTGAAAATGTTATGGATGAATGAATATGCATGCTTCTAAACATTTCTAATTTGATGTGATGTAAGATGTGAAATTTTTGCAGTCAACTGAAACAAAAAATTAACATTATATAATACTCCGAATTACTTTTGAGTTACAAATACTTGTCTAAATGTTTAGCACATACGCAGTATTAGAAATTGGTTTAACACTTTCTATCTTTAGGTATGACTATGTGACATTTTTTATGAATGCTTGAGATTGGGTAAGTGTGAGAGAGAATTATCATTTCAATGTGTTTCACAAAATTTCACTTGATTTATCCAATCATGATGATGATTTGTTACTTTTATTATTACCAGGAGTAATGCTGTTATTATTATTATTATTAGCTTGTGGATATTAGCATGTGGTGGTGGCATAATGGCTGAACCACCAGAGTAGAGTGAGTTAAATACCAGCAGCTCAAGGCTGAAAAGAAACTCTTTGAAGCAAAATGCCAAGAGGGAGGATAAGGTCAAAGCTCCGCCGGAGCAATCTATACACATTTGCATGCATCCGGCCACGAGCAGCGGAGGAGGTGGGCCCACACCGACTAGGCCCGGGGTTCTCCCGGGTAGTGCATTGCAACCAGCCCTATCTACATGATGTGAAGCCCCTCAAATACTGCACGAATGTCATCTCAACCACAAAGTACAGCATGTTCACCTTCTTGCCCAAGGCCATGTTTGAGCAGTTCAGGCGTGTTGCCAATGTCTACTTCCTCCTCGCCGCAATGCTGTCACTGACGCCGGTTTCACCCTTTTCTGCTGTCAGTGTGATAGCCCCTCTGGTGTTTGTTGTCGGGCTGAGTATGGCCAAGGAGGCTTTGGAAGACATGAATAGGTTCATCCAGGACACGAAGGTCAATTTACGTAAAGCCACTGTCCACAAAAGGGATAGTGGGTCTTTTGGTCATAGGCCGTGGAGAAATCTTCGGGTTGGAGACATTGTCAAGGTGGAAAAGGACGGTTTTTTCCCTGCAGACTTGCTCCTCCTGTCATCTAGTTATGAAGACGGAATCTGTTACGTGGAGACGATGAACTTAGATGGTGAGACAAACCTCAAGGTACAAAGAACAAATTGCTCCCCCTATTATGGAATTGACTCATTCTAGTTTAATTTACATTCTCTATTCATTGACCTGTTGTTGATGTTCTTACTTCACCCACAAATCCCCCTAAGGGTAATTGGCTCGCTGACCACCAACCTATATTGATGGCTACCATCACCAGCTCACTTCGCAGATTTGCAAAGTTTACTTTCTAATCTCACTGCCCGTTAAATTTCTTCTTGTCTTGACTTGGAATTGTTGCAGGTAAAAAGAGCTTTGGAGGTAACTTTACCCTTGGAAGATGATGAGTCTTTCAAAGGCTTCAGAGCAGTGATAAAATGTGAAGACCCCAACCCAAATCTCTACACTTTTGTAGGCAATCTTGAATACCAAAGACAAGTATACCCTCTAGACCCTAGTCAGATCCTGCTCAGAGACTCAAAGCTCAGGAACACAGCTTACGTTTACGGAGTGGTGATCTTCACTGGTGAAGACAGCAAAGTCATGCAGAATTCAACAAAATCGCCTTCAAAAAGGAGTCAGATCGAGCGACAAATGGACAAAATCATCTACGTCCTCTTCACCCTCCTCGTCTTGATCTCCCTGATCAGCTCTATCGGCTTTGCAGTAAAGACCAGGTTCGAGCTGCCTTATTGGTGGTATCTTGAGCCCCATGACAAAAACAACATCCTTTATAACCCAAACAAACCAGAGCTGTCCGGGATTTTCCACCTTGTCACTGCTCTGTTGTTGTACGGTTACTTGATACCCATATCCCTCTATGTCTCCATTGAAGTTGTGAAGGTCCTTCAAGCTATGTTCATAAACCAGGATGTCCACATGTATGACGAAGAGTCCGGGACTCCTGCCGAGGCGAGAACGTCAAATCTGAACGAGGAACTGGGCCAGGTGGACACAATTCTTTCGGACAAAACAGGGACTCTGACGTGTAACCAGATGGACTTCTTGAAATGCTCCATTGCTGGGACTGCTTATGGGAAGCGCGCCAGCGATGTGGAGCTTGCTGCCGCTAAGCAGATGGCGGCCATGGAAGAGGGTGGGGGTGATGATGAAGACGATGTCGAGAGCACACCTCGTGCGGGGTCGGATATAGAGCTGGAGACGGTGATAACGTGCAGAGACGGTGAGGATGGAGGCGAGGGCAGGCGGCCATGTGTAAAGGGGTTCAGCTTTGACGATGGAAGGCTCATGAATGGGAACTGGTTGAATGAACCGAACGCTGATGTCATCCTGCTGTTCTTCAGGATACTGTCGATCTGTCACACCGCTATTCCAGAGATGAATGAGGAGACGGGGGTGTTCAACTATGAGGCTGAGTCGCCGGACGAGGGCTCGTTCCTTGTGGCTGCCAGGGAATTCGGGTTTGAGTTCTGTAAAAGAACTCAGTCCTCCATTGTTGTTCGTGAGAGATATCCTTCTTTTCACCAGCCTGTCGAAAGGTGAGATTCTCATACATCTTGTACTGGTAATTTTTTTTGTCACGTAATGAAGTTGAAAGAATTGTGTGGTTGTGATAGGGAAGTCAAACTTCTGAATCTGTTAGACTTCACGAGCAAGAGGAAGAGAATGTCTGTCATTATTCGGGATGAGAGCGGACAGATTTTTCTCTTGTGCAAAGGAGCAGATAGGTATGATCACATGGCTTGTTTAGTTGGAAGATTTTGGAGGGGAAAGGCGTAGATGATTTCTTTTGGTTTCAATAGTTTGTCTATTTGTTCATCTAGTAGAAGTGTAGAATGAATAGTGGCAAATGAAAAAGAGAGATATAGTGTCTCAAGGTAAATGATAGAATTAGGTGTATTCAAAGTAAAAAGTGAAAGTTACTTTAGGACATATGAATATAATATGCAAGGATTATTAGGTTTGGAAATAACTAAAACTTCATCTCTCATGTCATTTTGGCACAATTTATAACAAAAAAATATTTTGCGTTTCGTCCACTCAATATGGTCATCTTATTACTGGAAGAAAAATTTAGTCAATCTCTCCAATTTGTTTTAACGGTTCCCCTTATTGGTGCTTCCCAATTTAATATGCATGTTTGAATTTATAGAAAGTATCAGTTAGTCAAGCAATGGAGCCAAAATTTCACCATTTTTTGGCTTTGGGGTGTGATGGAATAAATCAATTACCTAGAGATTTGATAGACGAGAAGAAATTAATTACTTCATAGTCAATCAGTTCGTTACGTTGAAAGCTGCAACTCGGCCCCCAGAGAAACCTTTGTCGGAGAGATGAAAGCTCATCCCCGTTCCAGACGCATGTGTGTGGGAGGGGTCTGGGATGAGATGTGGGATTTAACTGGGTTGTTGTTGTTGTTGTTGTTGAATTTATAGAAAGTTTTATGTGGCTCACATTGTTTTTGTCTTCTCTGCAGAAATCTTAGGTATGATTTCCACTTTATTTATCTGGTGTTTAGTCAAACTGGGCACCAACAAAAGAGTATTTATTTTGACAATGTTACTTTAACCACTTTGGAAAATGAGGAAATAAAAATGGTACTTTGTGAAATGGAAAATGTGAACATTTGTCTTTCGTATTGATGGAAACATGAGTATAAGGTTAGCTGGGTCATGCATTTCCATATCAGTTTTCATTCTTTGTGAAATGGAAAATGTGAACATTTGTCTTTCGTTTTGATGGAAACATGAGTATAAGGTTAGCTGGGTCATGCATTTCCATATCAGTTATCATTCTCACTTCAAAAAGTTTCTTAACAATATCCAGACCTAACCATGGCAAAGTCATATGAAGGTCTTTATCTGATTTAAAAGATTTAACACTCTTATGTATACATAATACGTGTGCATTTCACAACAGCATCATATTTGAGAGGCTAGCGAAAAATGGGAGAATGTATCTAGAAGCAACCACGAAGCATTTGAATGATTACGGGGAAGCTGGGCTGCGCACACTTGCCCTCGCATACAAGAAACTTGACGAGCCAGAGTATTCTGCGTGGAATGAGGAATTCACCAAAGCAAAAACTTCAATTGGCGGCGATAGGGAAGCAATGCTTGAAAGGGTATCTGATATGATGGAAAGGGATCTGATTCTTGTTGGTGCCACTGCCGTGGAGGATAAACTGCAAAAAGGAGTACGGATTATCTCCATTTCATTCTGGATGAAGCAAATAGAAGTCTGCTGTCAATTTGGGTACTAACTGTGCTGTTTTTCTTATCCATTCACCAGGTTCCTCAATGCATCGACAAATTGGCACAAGCTGGATTGAAGATTTGGGTTCTAACCGGTGATAAAATGGAGACTGCAATTAATATAGGGTGGGTATCTTACCTCAACAAGAAACAAGGCTTTACATGGTTACACGATTTGATTCTCAACAAAAATGTTAGATAAAAACAAGTCTTGATAAGTGTGGGATAATCTCTCTCAGCTGTGGTCAAGTTAAGCCCAGCACTTACTGTTATATTAACTTGGCATTGAAACCAGCTTGACTGGCTCCTTGAAAATAAATACATGAGCCACATTGAGTTGCTTGGCCATGAGGTGTGTGTTGATGTGTTCCATATGAGAGAACTTCCATGGTGTAGACAAAGGTGTCTAGCCGTGAGGTGTAAATAAATAAGCTTCTTCAATAAGTGGGGAATCCTCGTCATCTTTAACTCGACCCTTATTCTTCACCATGTGATTAACTGAAGTTTGTTTAATGCAGGTTTGCTTGTAGTTTGCTTCGACAGGGCATGAAGCAAATTTGTATTTCATCAGCAAACACAGATGCAACCGAAAAGGAATCCAAAGGGGTAAATTTTCAATAGAATAATAATGTAAGATTCTCAGGAAACTTATTATAATTAATGGCAGTCAATGCTGTTTGTCCCTCCTCAGGTTGTTAAGGAGAATATTTTGTTGCAAATGACAAATGCTTCCCAAATGGTCAAGCTTGAAATGGACCCACACGCCGCATTTGCATTGATCATTGACGGGAAAACTCTAACTTATGCCCTGGAAAATGATATGAAGCACCATTTTTTGAACTTAGCAGTTGAGTGTGCGTCTGTTATTTGCTGCCGTGTCTCTCCAAAGCAGAAGGCCCTTGTAAGATTCCATCAATTTTTGAGGTTTCTCACTTAGAGTGTAGTATGCCACTATGCAAATGATTTTATTGGGTTTCATATAGGTGACAAGGTTAGTAAAGGAGGGTACGGGAAAAACAACCTTAGCTATCGGTGACGGTGCAAATGATGTTGGAATGATTCAGGAAGCTGACATTGGTGTTGGAATCAGTGGGGCTGAAGGAATGCAGGTAGGTTACAGATTTTTTCCATTTCTTCTTTTAAACCTAAGTATTTTGCTGTTTTAGACAGCTTGGTTGTGGGAATAGATGTTATTTCTCGATATACAACATGTACTATGGTTTTAAGAAGTGGAGAGATTTTTGAAAAGAGCCATCCGTTTTTGTTACTAGAGCTTTACAATTTGAAGGAAACTACTATTTATGAATCATGCTCAAGTAACAATTTTTAACAGGCGGTGATGTCCAGTGACTTCGCTATTGCACAATTTTCATTTTTGGAGAGGCTTCTTGTTGTACACGGTCACTGGTGCTACAAACGGATTGCTCAGATGGTAAATTACATTGTCTATGTTTTGGATTTAAACTCCAGTTTAACAATGCTTTTTTAATTTGGTTGTATACTGCCTTACTCTAATATCCGATGCAATTCTCTCTCGGTCCAGATATGTTACTTCTTCTACAAAAACATTGCATTTGGCCTCACGCTCTTCTACTTTGAAGCATTCACCGGTTTCTCAGGGCAGTCGATATACCATGACTGGTATATGCTACTGTTCAATGTGGTTCTTACCTCCTTGCCTGTCATTTCGCTCGGAGTCTTTGAGCAGGACGTGTCATCTCAAGTCTGCTTACAGGTTTAGTTACTTGGCCCTTATAAGTTACTCTCTCCATTCCATATTAGCCGTCTATTAACACTTTCTTGATGCATTAAAAAATGGATGAACGTAGATATAAAGTATATCCACATTCATTCATTCTTCAATGCATCAAGAAAGTGTTAATAGACAGTTAAGATGGAATGGAGGGAGTAAAAGCTTGGTTGGAATGGCTGAACTTGTGGAAAACTTAAACTGTGATTGCCAATTGGCTTAAGTATCAAATTTTTTTTTAATGTCACGCATTTTGCAGTTCCCAGCACTGTATCAGCAAGGACCCAAAAACCTGTTCTTCGACTGGAACAGGATATTCGGGTGGATGGGAAACGGTGTCTACACCTCCCTTGTAGTGTTCTTCCTCAACCTTGTCATCTTCTACGACCAAGCCTTCCGATCTGGAGGCCAGATCGCGGACATGACCGCTATGGGGACTGCCATGTTCACCAGCGTGATCTGGGCGGTCAACTGCCAGGTTGCCCTAACAATGAGCCACTTCACGTGGATCCAACACGTCCTCATTTGGGGCAGCATAATCTTTTGGTACATCTTGCTCCTAGTCTACGGCGAAATGTCCCCAACCATTTCCAAAGATGCTTACAAAATCCTCTCTGAGGCCTTGGCCCCTGCCCCTGTATACTGGTTCACCACCTTCCTGACAAGCATCATATGCAACCTTCCATACTTCGTCCACATTGCGTACCAGAGGTCTTTCAACCCCATGGACCATCACATCATTCAAGAGATCAAATATTACAGGAAAGATGTTGAGGACCGGAACATGTGGAGAAGAGAACGGTCGAAAGCAAGGTCAAAGACCAAGATTGGGTTCACGGCCAGGGTGGACGCGAAGATTCGGCATTTGAAAGGGAAACTGCAGAAAAAGTATTCCGTCGTGGGATCACAGTTAGAAGCTCCGCGTAGTCATACGTAACTATAATTCTTTGATCATTCTTTTTTTTCTTTGTTGTTGTAAGGGAGGGTTGAGCCACACCTGCAAATCTTGTAATCCAATTGTAAAATTTGTTTTTTTGAGAGTGTATGGTGGGATCAACTCCTGTAGTTCATTCTTTGGCAGCTAATCATATTGAAGATATTGTATGTACAGTTCTTCTATACAGAACATCTTATACAACAAGAATACAACATTGAGAATTGAAGGTGGCCAATTCCAAAATAACAAAACAAGTGTGCACATTTACTGTACAAGTGTTTGTGTTGTGGGTGGGGTTGCCTTGTGAATACACACCCTCCGCCTCAATTTAAATTGTCTGTTTCGGTTTACGATATTTGACTGAATGTAGTTATTTTCAAATTATTTTATGTGAATAATAGTGTGTAGGAATTAAAAAATTAAAATTATATATTTAAAAACTAAATCAAAATAGCTACAAAACTAGTAGTGATATGATTATATTATTTTATCAAATGATTAACAAAAATAGAGAAAAAAAGTGAATGAAATTTGACCTTGCGAATTGTAAACATGCAATTAATTAATTTGGGACTTAGGGAGTATATTTAAGCTCATTTTCATCTAAGTGAAATTTAGATGAAAAATTTACTTTGAATTGGTCGAGGCCGGATTGAATAAAATAAGTGGATCGGAGAAGGAAGCGGAGAGTTCTCCGTCCTAATTCTTTCTTCCCAGTTTGACTTTTCTCCATTTTTAATTTTTGGCTTTGACTTCAAATTTTACCCTCCTTAAAAAAGATTTTTTGAAAATTTTTTTTTGCAATCATTCAAAATATAGAGTTAGAAGATAATTGGTGTAAATACATGAGGGTATTAATGTCATTTGTCATCTTTTTTTTCTAATGGGAAGGTAGTTTTAGGACGGAGAAAAAGGGGAAGTGGAAAGAAAGTTTTAGGACGGAGGGAGTACTATCTAGCTGAATTTATGCATGCATGCGGGGTATGGATACTTTATAGCACTCCCTAATTTGTTTATTGAAAAAATTATTTAGAATAATCACAATTTTATCTGATCATTTGAAAATAATATCACCTTTTATTGTGATGTATAATAATTTTAACTAATGGAATTTGTGAGTTTTGGGTCGTAATTAAGTTTCTAATGGTGGGTTAACAGAAACGGCCTATTTTGCGCAATAAGTTGAAATTATTCTAAATAACTTTTACTTTTTTTATTTGGACTTATTTTTATATTACAGAAAGTCACTATTCCGTTGATTAATTTATGGAGTACTTTATTATACTCTTGGTTAAAAAAAAACACTTTATATTTGGGTAAAATGCTAACAAGATCAACAAGATTCCTGTCTTTTTTCAAAAGTACTTTCTGTACCACCTAAATTATTTTAAGTGCTCATTAAGTTCCTATATACTCCGTATTTTTAAAAGTACTCCATTAAATGTTTAGATGATCCTCTATGTTATTTTTAGTGCTTACGTGTGTGTTGTCTGTGTGTGCGCGTGTGTGTCAATATGACAATATCTATATTTCTTTTGGATTTATTAGTACTCGTACGTATTATATGTATATATTTATATTCAATTTCTTATTATTATATTTCTAAAAAAACAAAATCTTAAATACGTAAAAGTATCTATCTACGGAGTATATCATTATTTATAACGTAATATGTATTGAGATGAAGGTATATATTTCCATCATTCCTACTCTTTGATCCATCCTTCCAATTCTTGGAGGTAAAAGTTAATTTTAATTGATTTACATTTCAAGTTTCGTTCTTTAAAATCCTAATTATTGTTTCATCTCCAATTTCATGACCAGGCATCGATTGTTTTTCATTAACAGGTCGATCAGATCGAATTTGCTAATGCATGATGATATAGCATGTTTTTCTTAAGGCATGCATGATCGATCATATAATATTAAGAAAAATGTATTTGTACATATATTACAGAACATTATACATTCTAAAATCACATTTCAAAAGATCTAATGATAGGGTAAATAGATTCAATGTATACTCTTATGTATTTTTCATACAAAATTTTTAAGATTTGACCATAAAAATCAATCTCGGAAAGAGATATGGAAGGCGACGGAGCTCGAGGAAAAGGTGGCGGAGGAGGAGGAAAGGTTACCGGCATCCGACATATTGTGAGGTTGAAAGAGATTCTGCACAAGTGGCACAATGTCACATTGGGGCATAAGGCGGCGGCGGCCGCCAAGAGAGAGGGACGTCCACTGCTGACTCCTCCTCTGCCGCCGCCGCCGCCTCCAGCCCCATGCGGCGGCGGAATCTCCCCCGCCATATGCAAGAGGCTGATGATGGCCGGCGGCGGGTGCTCGCAGTGGGACTCGGACGAGGAGAGCTGCGCGAGTCCCAACCCGCCGGCAGGCATCCCGAGGGGGTACTTGGCGGTGTACGTGGGCCCCGAGCGGCGGCGGTTCATCGTCCCGACGAGCTACCTCGGGGACCCGCTGTTCAAGGTGCTGCTGGAGAAGGTGGAGGAGGAGTTCGGGTTCGACCACGGCGGCGCCCTCACCATTCCCTGCGAGACGGAGACCTTCAAGTATCTCCTCAAATGCATGGAGACTCACGAGAGGGAACAACAACTTGTCGATCCCCAACAGCACCCGGCCGGCAGCTGCTGCGGCGGCGGCGACGCAGCCCCCAGCCACACCGGTAATTGAATAATTATTCCCTCTTGCCTAATACGGTGTGTATAGAAACAAATTCTCTTTTACTTCGATAAATTTTAAGGAATATTCCTTTTTGTACCTTTCAATACTTCTTTAAATTTCTTGGGATAACACTTCTTTAACCATTAATTTAAAAAAATTTATATTAGAATTTAAAATAAAATAATTTTATTAGAATTATCTTGTATAATATTTTTAAAATATTGTTTTATGCAATTAAACACTTGAGCTTCCGCGATTCTAAGTTCCACAAGTAAAATGTTGAATTTCTGAGATTTTTAGTAAGTCAATATTAGGATCTTTTATTTTTCAAAAAGCCCAGTTCAACTATTGTGTTTACATACTAAGATCCATAAAATGAATGTCGAACTTATGACCATAAAAGAATTTATCCTAAATATTGTTTGATGAGTAATATTTTAGTGTCAGCCAAGTAATAGGTTGAATATGTAAGAATATATATTACAATATAATAGAGGTATAAGTGTTTTTTGAGCAATATTGATTCTAATACAATGTAATATATATTTATACTTTTTCTCAATCTAATTTCACATAAAAAGTCAACGTATCTCTATTGGAGCTGGAACTTGGGCTAACCTTTTCATGTATAGATGGTGGGAGTGAGTTATTAATGTTAAAAGAGGAAATTGAATCAAATTACTCCGTATTACATTTAAGTAAATTAATTTACTTTTTATTACACTTAATGAAGTTTTGGATAAGTTTAGGGTTTTGTAAATGTATTAAAATTAAACAACTTCTTCAATATATATAGGGTAAGGCTAGCTATATACATACATTTCGACATCTAAAACCACAACACATAGGAAACATATTTTGATATCTTCGTTTCCAATCTATCATGAAATCATTAGATAATACGAGTAATCAGTTTCACTACTACCTAACCAATAAGTGAGTACAATGAGTTTGTAAAAAAAAAAGTGAGTCCAATGGTATAGTACTCACTCCTCTCTAGTGATTAACCTTGACCCAACCATAAAATTACTTTCATCTTTATTACAGAGTATTTTATATACATCTCACAAAAAACTTTTATTCTCATTTAAAATATCTAAAATATACTATTTTCTTCTTTATTATGGGTAGATTTATTTTAGAGATATTTTAGAAATTTTAGATAAGTTAAAAATATTTGGGAAATGTGCAAAAATGGAGGTGAATTTAAAGAAAATTTTGCACTAAATAGGACTAAAACATAAGTCATTTCCCAACGTAGGACTTAAACTTTTTATTCTCTAAGTAGTACTTAATAATGTCTAGTGGGAGGAATAATGTCCAGTCATGGTGAACATTTATTTGAATAATGACTAGTGAATAATGACTAATGATCCTATATTGAAAAATAAAAACATATAGTCCTATATTGAAAAAGTCATTATGATTTAACCCTATTTGGATAAATTTTTCCCCATATTTAAATGGAACATACCCATTATATTCAGTGCATACCGTTATTATTATTATTATTATATATACTTCCTCTGTCCTAGAAAGAACTTTTGAAATGGTCTTTTCACAATTTTTAATGAGAGTTAAAAGATGTGGAGGTTTAATTTGTACATTATCTTTGATTAAAGAGGGTGGGTGTTGAGGATTAGGTGACGTGCAATAAATAAAGAAAGAGAGATTTGTTGTGCTTTTCAAATGTTAAAAAAACTAATGAGAATTTTTTTTTAGGATAAAAGAGTAGTTAGAATTTGGGGAGGTCTTTTCGGAACAGAGAGAATATAATGACTATTTTCTTTTAAAGCTAGAGTATCGAAATTCATCGCAAGAGTTGAGATGAGAAATCAATCAAACCCAAATTGAAAGTAGGAACCAATCCCAGTGGAGAAAGGACAAAAAGGCAGGTGACATTAAGTTTAGAAGAAAAATAAACGCTTCCAAAAATTTGTCATTGATGTTTTCTCTTATACTCTGTAAAAGTAGATTGTAATTCTTTACTTGATTATATGTTTCTTAACCCTATAATTACTCAATCTCTTTTAAACTCTTGGAGAAATAATCCAACTTTCAATATATAATATACAAAAGACTTAATACATATGATCTTCATCTCTTCATTGTCTACTTTCACTTATAACTTTCATGTTTTTTGAGTTCAAAAAAAGATGCTAATTAATAACAAACAAAAAAAAAACACTTAAGTGGACCGCGGAGTAAAAATTAGCGCCAAGTCTAAACAAAAAGCCCAACTAGAAAGAGAAAATTAAACCAAAGTTAAGGCCAAGCAAATGGGCTCTTCCTGCTACAAGGGCTTTGGCCATTACCCAACACATTTTGTAGGCAAATTCTATGGTCGTCATGGGCTCAATTCATACTCATTTTATATACTCCGTACATTATAACATTTATTTATTTAGATTATACTTAATTTGTAGTCAAAGAATATTACTATTTGACTAAGAAATCAAACTTGAAGAGTTTTAAGGGACTGAGGGAGTACATTATATTGTTTTATTTGATGTGGCTTGTAAAAATAAAGAGATTTAACTATAAGTTTATAAAAAATTGTGAGAAGATCTACATTTCATATGTCGTGGACCTTATGAACACAAGGATACAAACTCCACTTTGGGATACGGAGTATATATTCAAAGTTCAAACCTTATATTTCGGTCTCTAATAATATACGGAGTAAATTTTAGACTTCCAACTTAAAAGCATATAAATTATCATGGCAGGTGAAAATAAATAGAAATTTCATGGAATGAATAGCAAATTAAACCAATGATCAATTACATAAAATGGCATAAAATGTTTGCAAGATAAATATATATAATAGATTTATTTTTGTATTGATATACTTGTTCTTCATTTTTCACACATGCCATTTTTTTGAGTAAATTCTATAAAAGGCCCCTAGTTGTAGGTCGTTTTCATGTTTAATCTCTACATATCAAATATCAATTATTTACTCCCCAATTATTATATTATTTTTCACAAATGATCATCTCTTAACATTCCCGTTAAGAAAATTGATAAAATTTTAAGTTCACACGCACTCATCTCTCTCTTAATTTAAGCTTTCTCCCTCCTAATGTACTCCTTCCAAAACATGTCGCTAAGTTTGAAGCTTTAAACCCAAAACTGAAACCATCGCTAGCTCCTTTCTCAATTATTCATCTTCCTGAGAATCCAAAATTGAAATCAGTAACTTTAATGGATGAGTTTCGAGGATTATGCTCAGGAAATTGCAAGAAAACAAACTTTGAATGGAAACTCATCCATGTAGGTTATTTGTTTAAATTTTGGGTTCTACCAAGAAGACGAACAATTGAGAGAGGAGATAGTGATGGTTTCAGTTTTGGGTTCAGAGGTTCAAACTCAAAGACGCGTTTGGGAAGGAGTATGAGAGGATAAAGGAAGCTTAATAGAGAATAGAGAGAAGTGTGAATTTATAATTTTATCCAAGCATGTTCTTAACGGGAATGTTAACAGAGGATCATTCATAGAAAACAATATAATTATTGGAGACTAAATTATTAATATTTGATATGTGAGAACTTAATATGAAAAACAACCTATAACTTGGACCATTTATGAAATTTATTCTTTTTTATTTTATTTTTTCCTTTAATTTATTTCCTCAAATAGACCCGCCCAGCTTGAAAATCAATAATTATTTATATATAATTGATACTCCCTTTGTCTCGTAAAACATGGGATGTTTTGTTTTTTGAAGAGATTTAAGGGAAGTGTATTTTGGCATTGAATTTCCAAAAATGTCCTTTGATTTGATGGGTAAAAGTAGGATTTGTTAGATAAATTATTACTTCCTCCGTTCCACAAAACCCTTCCGGTTTTGACTTTGGGGAAAAATAAGGAAAGTGTAATTTTGGTTGACTTTCCAATTTTGCCCCTGATGGATGGGAAAAAGTAAGATGTGATAGTTTGGTTATTAGTGAAAAAGTATGATGTGATAGGTAGGGTATGAAAAAGTAGGGGTAAAAGTGGGGTTTTAATAGAAAGTGAAAGTGTTTTGTGGAAAGCAAAAAAAACAAAAGAGGAAGGGTTTTGTGGAACGGAGGGAGTAGTAAAAAGGTATGATGTGATAGGTAGGTTATAAAAAAGTAAGAAGTAAAAGTGACTTTTTAATAGAAATAAGAAGTGTTTTTTGGGACGGATGAAAAAAGAAAGAAGAAAGGTTTTGGGACGGAGGAAGTATATGGGAAGCTTCGTTTGCATGAAAATGAAGGACATGTATGCATGCACGTGTTTCCACATTCATCAACATACAATAATTATTAATATATCTGATCTGCTTGCTATATAGTATCAGCTAGCCCAGATTTAATTATATTGTATCCATTATATTGGTCATGTATCGATTGTGACACCATTTTAATTAGCTTCAAATTAAATATCATGTTCCTGCCTACTTACTAATATGTGTTAGACAATAATATTAAGTATTCCTAGTTATGATAGAAGTTGTGTTTTAGTTAGTTTCCATTCTTTATTCCTAGTTGTGTTAGGAGTCTCTTCTATATATACTTTATCATTACTTCATAATCCAAGGAGCAATAATATTATTCTAATATTTCAACATGGTATCAGAGTCATCGCTCTTGGTGACCTAAAAGAGTTCTTTGCTTCCGCCGCCGCCGCCGGTAATTCTGGCGACGACGACTCCACCCTATTCACCTCTATTTTCTTTTCTTTCTTTTATTCTCAAATCAACTTATCCATTCAAATGAAAAAAAAGGAAAAAAACCTTGTTGAAATCACACAAAAAGAATCATCAAAGGAAGAACTTCTCTCTTGTCATCTTCATGGTTCTTCAAAAAAAACTCCAACTCCTAACAAATTCTCTCAACTCATCCTATCTTCTCAAAAAAAGAGAAAAAAACAATTGTTGTTTCTCTCAAATTCACCATATCAAAATCTCAGCCCCAAATCTTTCTTCCATCACCAATTCTTAACTCATTTTTTTTCTCTCTCTCAAATCACGCATTCTAATCATCAAACTCTCTTCTCTTTCTCTTTTGTTGAACCAATAAAAAATTCAAAAAAAAAACACAAAAGCAAAGCCAAAAGG